AAAAGTTTCCTGACACCAACATTCTTAGTCGAAACAGAGCTGAAATTAGCCGGTAATGACTGGAAAGGTCGAGGTAGTATTTTCCTGAATGGTGTACATTAGATCTTGCAGGTGCTCATAAAAATGCTTCCGCCTCCGTAGTTGTGCACGGCAATTATGTATAGTGCTGCAGACAATAAATGCAAACCAATGCAAATGAGCCACTTAATGGCCAACAGCAAACAGCTGTGGAGGGAAAGGGCAGCCTCAAGTTATGTAACCGAACGTGTTACAAAAACACAACCTTGTGGTGTTCGCTAAGTATCCTGTGAAAATTTAAGATATCACCTCAAAAAGCTGAGTGAAGGATGCTGATTGCATTCCAAAAACCAGTGATGGATGTTTTTTTAGAGTTTGATGTCGAATTCGTGATTACAAAGAGCCGCACAGAAATTAGAATTCAGTTCAGGTTCCAAGTTTTACATGTTTCTAGAACAATAATTTTACACTCCAAGTGAAGTTAGAAACACCCTGTGTGCTTTCTGTAAGCTCAACGTTATTGACCTGAGAGTGACCTGTTTTTAACACTGTCACTGAAATAGAGGGCGAGGTGTTGGCACCATCGTATTTTCACTTCACCCGTTAGAAGAATATGTGTTGAGAATGCATCATATCATGGAGTAACTCTTCAGCCCTGACACAGTTTTATTATAATACAGATTAAGGTGAAGGCAAATGCTGTGTAGTGAAGAAATGTCATCTTCAGATCCTTTGATTCTCAGAAAGTAGTGCGGTCCTGCTTGGCCCAGCTGAAATGGCTAACCAAGATCAGGTCATCCTTTTCTTCTGCATACTTAGAAAGGGCTGTCCATGCTTTTATCTCTTTCACTCTCAACTTTTGCAAAATATCCACAGCTGGTAAAAAAAAAAAAAAAGACTCAGCTGCTGCCAGGCTTTTAACACATACTGAGAGACAACAATCCTCGCTGTCCTTCACTGGCTACCTGTGACTTTTAGAATTGATTTGAAGATTTTATTGCTTGTTTTTAGAGCCTTGAGATGTCTGGCTTCTGCCTATATCCGCAATCTGCTCCCAGCGAGCCTGATTGTTGCTCGAGATCATCTGTCAGGGCCTCGGTAATGATTTCTAAATCTCATCTCGTCACCGAAGGTGGCTGGGCCCTCCGGCTGTCGAAATCCCAGCCAGCTGATGTCACGCAGGCAAACTCAGTATCATCTTTAAAAATCTCCTCTTCAATCTCCCTTTTAACGTTTGTGTGAACAGATTGTAACTGTTGTATTTAATTGAATTACTTGAGTTGTGGTTCTTGTTACTTTATTAAATGTCTTTTTTACTGAATAGCACTTTGTCATTTGGTTTTTGAAAGGCACTTTCTAAATAAAACTCACTATTATTCTTATTATTTAGAGAGATAATGTCCAATTCCTGTAGAGATCCATGTCTTCTGCTTCCCAAAGCTGAGATTATGTTTTTACTAGGTTCATATGGCAAGATGTATAATCATGACGTGCTTTAAAGGTATAATTTAAATTTAAATGCTATCATAGTAATCATTTTATTGTAACTAATCTGCCTTTTTCTGCCAATTTTGTAATAAAACACACATAAGAACTGCTCCTTCTCCCAGTACAATCCACCCTTTCAGATCTCAGCAGGATGCTTTGTAAAGATGACAGTAAAAAGGAAATAAATAGATAAAAGATGTTAAAAAAAAAAAAAAATCTCACAGAGCCACATGCTCTTGTTGATTTCAAATATTGTCACGACATGAAGGTCACGCGTTTGATGAAAAGCAGCAAGTCATCTGCTCAAGCACCACTTTCTGCTCCCATTGAAAAAGAGTCACTGTTTATATTTAGAGATCATACTACACATACTACAAGATTACGACACGCAGAGCCGACGGCAGCCATGGATATGGAAATCAGTGTCACAGGGAGCGTACATACATGGCAGTGCTTCCTCCTGTGATGCTTCCCGCATCCAATGGGGGATGGAATTTCCTGGGGATTCTCCTTTCGTCTTACAGGAAACGGCGTACAAATTTGGTTTGAACATGTTGTGCCAGCAGCGTCATGCTCCACATAGCAGCTCTTACATACTATTCACAGACTGAGCAGGATGGAGTGAATCAGAACAGCCAGCATTCATTCTTCCTGCCCACGGGAACAGTTTGACTGTGTGTTGGGCCTGTTTTTCACACATTCGCTCTCTCGCTCTTTCTCACAGAAACACATACACGGCCGCCTGTCAGTCTCAGAGAGAATAATGCTAATTAAAGTACTGAGCAGCACTGACACTGTTATTGTGTGGTGGCGAGAAGGCGGACAGCTTGCATGCAGCCCAGTGTTCTTGTGATGTTGTTTGCTGTTCTTGTATGTTCAGTGGTAGCTGCGTTGAATAACCACCGTCTCTGTTTGCGCCCCAGTTTTCCACTTTCGGGTAAATAGATTTTTGGAACAAATATGTGTTGTTTTATAATGTTTCATGCCCTTTTATATAACCTTTGTAAAACTTTCCGTACACTTGGAAATGAGTTATACATAATTTAATACATGACACCAAAGTATGTTGTCATTAGAGTGTAAATTAATATTGTTATTTCTTTGGGTGTTTTAAAATTGAGCTCAAAAACACAACAATGAGACAAACCTGGCTTTAGCTTTAACCCTATTCAGGACTCTCATGTTGCCATACGTAGAAGGGCTCCATTGGATCCCAAGAAAGAATATGTGCTAAATATTTGTTGGTATTCATTATAGACTTTTATACTATATTAAATACATTTTCTGATAAATTGATGTATTTTTGGTTCCAAATGCATGACAAATGTCCCTATTTTTATATTTAAAAAAAATATCTTCAAAAATAAACAAAAACAATACCTGTCACCTAAAACAAATGGCTTGAGGTCCAAAAGACCCCAAAATTCGTGAATAGGGTTCAGTAAATACTATCCACATGCAAATAAAACATAAAAAAGTCTATTCAATTCATAACAGTTCAATTTTATTCATATAGCGTCAGTTCACATTTGTCATTTCATAGCAGTTAAAGGGATAAGATAAAAAAAAAACATACAAATTTTGAACAGAGAACCCAACAAACCAGAGTTCCCTTTGGATCCCTTTGAGCAAGCAGTCGGCAACAGCGAGGAGGAATGAAAAAAACTTCCCTTAATATATAAATATATGTGTATGTTAACGATACAGTGACATTTTAATCTGCTGTTGATGTACTTACATCTATCTATCTATCTATCTATCTATCTATCTATCTATCTATCTATCTATCTATCTATCTATCTATCTATCTATCTATCAATATAGATAAAAAAAACAGATTTCATAATATTGTTCAGCTGCTTTATCATACGTTCTGTTCACTTTATTTCCCAACCTGAAAGTCTAAATGCAGTTCCAAAGCCCTGTCCTCACTACAACCTCACCAACGCTCAACATAGTGAAGAGATACTAAATTATTTATTCACGGTGGCGTAAAACCTTATTGCGTCTTCGCCTGGTGAAATCATCCGGCTGAATACCCGCTGAAGGTTGACAGAGCGGCGGAGACACAAAGGGGAAGGCTTACAAAGCTTACAGCCTCAGACGCTCAATGCGACACAATACAACTAACACACACCTGCGGATTAAGTCCTGTCATCTCCTCACCACTGGTATCTAAAAAAACAAAAAAAAAAGGAATAGCACTCTGAAGCAGAAATCACAGCAAATGTGAGGTGCAGCACATGGTTTCATGAAGTAAGTCAGTAGAACTAGAGAAACTTCACTGTGTGATCAACCTGATCCCCATTAGACAGTCGCCTACCACATCTACAGACAGACAAAAGGCCTGCACTCCCATTACTGTGTCCTTTATGCTGCTGTTATCTTCTCTTTGTTAATACTGTCAGTTTTTTACCACAGTTATAAAAGCATCCGGCCTACATTGTTATATGAGACATGCTATTCTGAACTGACAGAAGCTGGAGCAGACATTTTGTACCAGACACAGCTTTTTGTTTTTTTGTTTTTTTTTTTGTTTTTGCTGTGCTTTTTGCTGTGTTTCATCCTTCACAGGTTAAGCCCTGTCTCACCCCTGAACCCCTTCCCTGTTATGTTTTAGCGAGAACAGTGGGAGCTGCCTGCAGGGAACTTTTGGAAGGTGAATCACGCTGCTGAGTGCACACAGCAGCGGCACAGGGGAAGTGACACCAAGTCCATCTTGCATCATCCCACTGCCAACACTTGTCGTGTCCTTCAAAGGTCACCGGATGAATCGACGTTGCGTAAAAAGGCCACGGAGAAATCCACTGACTGAGGTCGTTTTTGCCCAGAGGCTGCAGCGGATCAGAGGACGTATTGGGAAGAAAGTTTCCCTCTGCGATAAGTAGAGAACTATTTAATCTGTGGGGTTATTGTGTTCAAAGAATGGCAGACAAAAGAAATGCATATTAGACTTTGAATGGGAAAAAAAAAAAACACAGTCATAACAAGTCATATTTTATCACCAGGCGAAGAAATGAAATGTTCTCGTTTTTTTTTTTCCGACTTGGTCCCCTTCTCTCGTCTCGCACCTTCTCCCCCGATGTACTGCAGCTCCCACACATGTCTGCAAGTGTGACTGGCTCTTCTGTGTGGCTAGACTAATGCCATGTGCCTTGCTTGGTGCACTAGATACACAGACAGGCAGATGGCAATAAAGACACATAAAGGTACACTCATGACTGTAAATATAACTGCAGACGCCGACCCAGACAGAGCTCTTTCATAAGCTGACACCTGGGCAGCCTGATTTCACAGAGATCAAAATCTCCTTGCTTGAAAAGAAAAAAAAAAGAGGAGAGGTTTGTCCTCGAAAGAAGAGAAAATGACAGACGAGGGGGGAAAAAAGTGGAGGAAAAGAAATGAGGAAGATGAGCAAAAGTTCATAAAAACGGGTTAAATGGGTGAAGAGGTGCAGCTAAAAACACAAAAGAGAAATGACAAGAGAAGACAATAGCACAGATTGGAGCTACAGAAGGCAGTGATGGATAATGGCTGGCAGTGAAGGAGGTGTTTTTGCTGGGGGGAGTACTTCATGAAATCTCCCCTGCAGCTCACTGTCTGCACTGATGAAACACTCTGCTGCATTTTAAATCCTCCACCAGCAACCGCTAACATTCTGCTGCTGAGAGGGAAAAGTGTGCATTTCCCCTCTTTATTTTTTTTGCTGTGTGGCTGTGGTATGTGAATAACAGAAATGGCTTTGTTTGCAAAATGAAATGTTTAATAAAATATGTTGCTGATGCACGTAAAGATCAGCTCAGTGTTTCCCTTCAGTGTTATTGGATTTACATGCGCTGTAGAATGCGTTTCCTTGGAACGTGCTGCCCTCTGCAGTGTAGAAGAAATACCGCAGGGGAAGATATTTGTTGTCAAGAAAACACTTGTCACTACAAAATTAGGCGATTTATATAACAACTTTGCTTATGTAAGACAGGAAATGCCAAAAAAACTGTACATAACTGCACTACTTCTGCAATTAATCTTTCACAGAGGTAAATGTCAGGACAAAATAGCATCTCCTAAAAAAAAAATCACACAGATTCACTGCAGCCTCTCTCCACTTGGAGGTGGACCGTTGGTCGTCCGTTCTCCTTCGGCCGGGCCTCTTCTTGGCTGCCGCTCTGCTGACTCCGCTGAGCTTTCTCCAAGGCCTTTAATTGTCTCCGGTAGCGGCGATTTTCCTCGGGGTAGGAGACCACAGACAGAGGCAGTCTGCAGATGGCGGGGATCTCAGAGGAAATGAGGAGGAAGATGAGAGTCGACAGGCAGAAAGGCCACGTGCAGGCCGGTAATGCAAGCTGAAAGAAGGGGATGTCGTGGGAAGAGGGGAGCATGACACATGATATGAGAGACATCTGGGCGTTAGGGTGACGATTATGGAGTTTGACTTAGGGAAGAAAAAAAGTCTCTAACTTACCACGGACATCAGTTTTAAGGTGGCTGACGTCATGTATGCACAGAAAAGTGCTGGAAAGAGACAGTTTTTGATTAAAACCTTTCATCTACTTGACAAAGGATCATACGGTTCATCAGTCTTACCACATATTAGAGCCAGCAGGTGGGTTTGCCATGTTATCACGTAAAAGACTCCTCCAATGGCAATGCAGGATAGAGCGCTGTTATATCCCCACAGGCCTGAGTAAATATCCCCGTTAGGAGCAGCCAGAGCAAGTCCTGCACCACAAAATAGACAAGAACAGGATAATCTCCATAATCTGCATGAAGTATTATCAAATACAACAACTGCACACAGTTAAAAATTGAATGGGAATCTTGATTTGAGAGAACACGCCGCGGTTCATTCGCTCTAATGTCACGGTGCCCTTTGGAGAACCAAAGCTCGCAGCGTAGCCTCGGCAGACATTATGCATGCTATGCAAATGGTGGTGAGTCTTTTACCAGTAAACATGCCAGCAGCAGAGCCCAACATGGCATGAAAACAGATAGTTGGTGAGCAGAGCAGCAGGGCCAGAAGGATGAGACCTCCTGTCCAAGGACTGTCACAGCCGTACACCTGGCCAACGCCGACCGGCACTGACAGGAAGAGCTGCAAACAGGAAGCCTCCGTTTAAAGACCAGTTAGCACACTCTATTAATTAAGAAGCTTCAAACGTGGTCACTAGCGATCCAGATTGTAATGGGACCAGTAGCATTCACCTGAGAAACACTGAGGCCTTCGATGGAGTCGTTTGGATGGTGCAGACGGTGGTTTGGCTGAATATCCACCTGGAGGTGCAGAACAACTAAGTTTGCATCAATTTGCTGTTTAAGAGCTTTCTTGTATGTCTGTCAGGGCTCCACTATACCTCTGGAAAGTACGGATGAGCAGCTCCTGTAGCTGCAATGTGCAAACACACCAAAATGTTAAAGGGCAGGGTGAATATTGGGAGGTCCCATTTGCTGGCAATTGAAGACAAAGCACTGGAGACCACTGGGCTGTGAACAGAGGCAGGAAACACATTACTGATTGGGTGGAAGGTGGAACCTCACCAGGGTGACATTATAATCCTGACTTGATTGTTGTGTGTTTACCTAAAGGGTGGAGGTTCTATGTAATAATTTGAATGCCGAGATCAGCATTCCTTCTTTATGTTATGTTTGCTTCAAACCCTTCACCTGAACAGGAATCACCCAAACAATTAACAATGTGCTACTCTCAGCAGGGTCCTGTTTATCTTTTCAAAATCAAGAACCCAAGAGTATAAGTGTGAGGAATGACGCTAAGGAAAAGTCCCTAAATATGTTTAGGACCTATTATAATCTGCCAGCATTAGTTGTCATTTCAGTTCTCTGCTCCCGACATAAATGGATTTCAAACTAAGATTTGAAACAGTGCAAATAGCAAATGGCAAAAGCTGCAATTTGGGATAGACGTTGTGCGGTCCATCAGACTCAGGGATTAAACTGATGTGTCAGTGGTTTTATTAATTCACGACATCCTCCGTGTCTGTCACATCTGATGATGTTTCATATTTTAATTCTCGAACTCAAGTTTTTAATCTACTACAGAGTGAATATCGAATGGAAGTTTAAAAACGTATATGGCAAATCGAATATCTGTGTGAAAAGTCACATTTAGATATTTTTCCCAAATTGTTTTGCAACATTTACTATATGTGGCAATATATTGTGGTCTCCTCTTATGTAATAACCTCAGAAAAGCTACAATGGATCTAAACCAGGGGTGTCCAATCCTGGTCCTTCAAATTATCAGCTCATCATCAAGCTCTACAGAAGCCTGATAACGATCCTGATCATTTGAATCAGGTGTGTTGGAAGAGGGAAACATCTAAAACATGCACAATCGTGGCCCTCGAGGACCAGGATTGGACACCCCTGATCTAAACAGTACTGTCAGTGGTACTACTATTGCTAATATCTGCTAACAATCCCACCATGCAAAGTTTTATAGATGCAAAAATTAGAGCTGTGTCCAAACTCACTTCCCATTTACTACATGGTGCTCTACATTTACTGCCAGTCATTTTATCTGAGTGTGCAAAGTGTGAGTGTATACATGTCTTTGGTGTATATGGCTCTCTAAAATTGATCAGATTAAGGAAAAAAATCAGTTTATGGTGCGTATATATTACTTTCTGGTCACAATCTCTCTCTATGCAAGAAGTTACACAGAGACACAGAATAATATATTTTACTGCATTGTGGCACTGTTTTTTTTTGTGACAATTTTTCTTCCCTTGTCACCCAATTTAGACTTTATCCGCCCATTGAATGGCCTATTTTCGAGGGCATTTCATAGCATATACGTTAACAACATCCGTGCTCAGACACTCAAAGTGTCCAAGATGTAGTACAAGATAGTAAAGAGAGAGTGCTCTGATGATAGTGATAAACTGCATGAAGATTGCAGGTATAGCAGCAGTGACTAAAGGGGCAGTGGCAGGGAAGAGTCACTTTTTTAAATAAAAAAAACTGTAATCTTGAACATGGTTTCTGATCTTTGCTGCATTCTGTTCTCTTTGTCTGCTTCATGTTTACAATCTGGAGCAAATGGATTTCTCGTAGAGAGCACTCACCACAACATGGACATGAACACATTTGGCAGGAGAAGCCACCAGTACCAGCTTCCATTGGCAGAGAACACAGCCATCAGTATGCCGACCAGTGTTCCATTGTAGCCATATAATCCCGCCGATATGGCCTCCCTGAGGAGAATGTGACAGATGTGGCTAACATGAGTGCAAAACACAGGTAAATGAGAAACAAACTGTGAAAACAGCAAAGTGGGGAAGCTAAATAAAGTGCAGCTCGAGGGAATAGAAGTGAAAGACGGTGATAATGGCTTTGTGTAGGAGGAACACATGTTTAAAGATGAGCTAAAGAGAGATGCCATCTGACCTGTTTTGTCCCAGAAAGAAGGCCGACACAGTGGAGACAAGGGTCCCTATGAGACCGTTCAGAGCCCACCAGGGGTTCTGCAGGAAGAGGCCGACCGCGACTAGGAGCCCACTGAGAGGGTTGTTGATGAACATGACCTGGGCCACCCCTCGAAAGATGCAGTCTAGTAGCTGGATTACCACAGACTGTTCTGTCATAGGTGTCGGACAAGATTCTTAAGGCGCAAGTTATTGCTTTTGCATGCTGTAATTATTTTAAGTGCTGCAACATCACTGAGAAGGTTACAGATATCATCACTTACTTTTCACCCACTTTCCACATCGTTTCATGTCGCCTGTGAAAAACCCAACAGCTCTGAAGAAAAAGGAACGATCTGGAGCTTCTTCCTGTGACGGTGGATTGTTGTTGTCCATACTTGCTGTCATGTCTAAATCATTCAAAACATGTTTCCAGTAAATTACTGGCTACCAATATAGTGCAGCTTTAATCAGACTGAAATATATCAACAACCAGAGACATTCATGGTCCTCAGTAGATGAATCCTACCCACTATGTGATCTCTGACGTTCCCTGTAGCGCCACCATGAGGCTAATTTTGTTCTTGTTTTTCAGTGAAATGTCCTGACAACATTATCCATCTGGAGGTGTAGATAAGAGATCACTTTGCTGATTTGCATGTAATTAAAGTTCTTCTACAGGCACTGATTAAAACCGAAAAAAAAAAAAAACCTCACCTCTGTTCACCAAAATACCATATTCAGAAGTTTTTCCATGAAACTAATCTCTTAAAATGGCTCAGGTGTAGCTCCACACTTCGCTGCTGTAGCATGTGTGGATCTATGAATATGTAAATGAGTCGCTGTCTCTGCCTCCCTTCACCCCTCGGCTGTTTGCCTGCAGCTCTACCTGCCTGCTTACCTTCAACTCTGTTCAAACACTGTAAAACTACTCTGCACTGCACAATGGCAAGCTGTTAAATTGGAGTTATTCAGCTATGCGGTTTCTGAAGCGGAAACCAATTCTGAAGAAGAAGAGCGAATTGTACAGAGTCGCCCACAAGTCCATGTAGCAGAATGGTGTTGTATTGTATGTGCTGCAGTCTACAATGTCGATAATGTCCCAACAGTAAATACATTTGTGAACTAATACTATCCATTGCATCTTATCTGATACAAAAAGCCAGGACGGGATTGGTTCCTTGCGTTTGTTATGCATGAGTCCTTTAATCTGTGGTTTTGAGTTGCACGGTCGACATTAAAATGCTCAGCAAAGTTCAATTATGCTTATCCAGAGTCAAGTTGTGGTGGCAGCAGGCTAAGCAAGTTATTCCAGATGTCCCTCTTCCCAGCAATGTTTTCCAGCCCTTCCTGGAGGAACCTCAAGGTGCTACAGATGAGATATGGGGTCTCCTCTCAGTCGGACGTGCCTGGAACACCTCCAGAGGAAGGCGCCCGGAAAGCATCCCATTAAGATGCTCGAACCACCTCCCCGTGAAGAATCCACTGCCTTATCACAGCGGAGGGCTTCGTGTGTTCCTGTGATGCTAGAGAAGCTATGTTGTTGGGGACAGTAGCCTTTGATAGTGTCTTCAAGACAAACTGGTCCTAAAGGAGGGGCAAGACAAAGGGCGATTCAAAGACCCCCTATGAACAGCAAACATGAAACTTCAATACCTCGCCCGGCATAAGGAAAATGAGCCTGCAAGTGAGTCTCTAGTCACCGTCATCCATGAGGCTTGGCGTGGCACAGCCTAAAGAAGCAGGACGGAGTCACCACGGACAGATACAGAAGGCGGGTGAGATGCAGGCCAGGTGGCAGACATGATGAACCGTGACATCACAGACTCTGCTTATTGCACTCAGGATGATTCTTGCATATAGAGGACACCATATGGACGTGTTTGCATAACATCATGACTTTCAATGGAGGAGGTGTTTGAGTTCAGTTTCAAGAATTGTTGTTGCTGGATATGCACATCATAAATTTTTTTTTACCCCAAACTAAATAATTCTATCTTCATTCAGATGCACTGAATACACACAGCAGTAACACATCCCCTTTACCTGCCCTGTGTAGGTACTTTTCATTTGGTTAATGACTCAGTGAACACTTGTGTGAGAGCCGGCACTTAGGTTAGGAGCACCGCCCCTTGTAGGTAGGGTTAGAGAGAGCCCTCCCTCCTTATAAGCGCAGGTGAGAGCCATTAGTGCCTCTTTGTTTGAGGCCTGGTAGGTGTGTGGTGGGATTGCTGTGTCTGTGCAGGTAAGGGAGATTTTAGAAAGCAAGAACGGTTCAAACAACAAGAACGGTTTTGATGGGACTGCTGTGTCTGTGCAGAATTGTGGTGTGGCTGTTTTCCCTCTCAACTCGGTTTGATTAAGGCCCTGTTGGCCCATGCTGAAGAGGACATGAGTCAGCCTCACTGGGTCCCAGTATAAAGTCAGTCAGCTCCACCAGTGTCAGTCTCTTATAGAGCCAGAGATTGAGAAGAATTAATGCCAGACTGCTGCTTTGCCTGGACTGGATTTGCCATGTGGTCTAGTGGATGTGTCTCAACTGTTCTTATGATTGTGGATTGATAATCAGCTCATCATAAGTTGTCTACTGCCATCCATGTTTGCTTTGATGTCTGAATTTTATTGCTCTGTGATATTTGATCTCTATTGAACGATGAATTTGTAACCAAGAACCAACCAAGGATCTGCGGGGAGTACGTGTGGTATACACACCTTTCTTTGTATGCAGTGTGGTAGGTCTGAAGTGTGGTGAGCACCTAAACTAGTTTTTCGATTTACCTCAGTCTGCAGTGTTTGTTACAGTGCTTTGCAGTGATCACGGTGTGCACGTGGTGAGTGAGATTGGGTTTTGCAATAGCATCTCCCCGCGGTGAGTACCCTGTCTGATAGCTTTTTATATATCTTGCAACCAGTTGGTTCAGTTGCATTTTAGTTTTAAATGGTTGTTAATAGTACAATATTAAATGCTTGGTCTTAACCTGATTATTGTCCTTTTCTTTTATCTCCTTTTAATAATAAATACTGAGTTTTTGACTTGAATGCATGTCTCCGGCTCTCCTTGTACCTGTAAAATAATTTGTTTGTGGGTTCAGGCAGAGACCCTCACACTGGGGTTGGTCACACTTAGTATTTGCAATAATGATAATGTGATATTTTTTAATGTGGTTTTTGTGGTGTTTTTCAAGCTTTTAAGGAGACAGAGCTGTAGTGTGATTTAAGGTTGAAGTGACAGCAGTGCTCCAGTGAGGGGAGCTCCTCTGCTGAAAGCTACAGACTCAGTCACTGATGCTGTGATTCAGTCGGTTCAGTTTGAGGATTCAGTGTTCGTACAAGTAATGAACACCTGAGGATGCTGGCTTAGAATTTGGTGATCCTCATCATTAGGAACAAATTTCTACTTATCCAGTGAAGTGCTTATTATTTATGGTTGACTACGAGCTGTAGTGATCCCCTGACTTTTGCTGTTAGCATGCTGATGTTAGCAGTGAGCTCTGTGCAGCTCTGTGCAGCCTCACAGCGCTGCCAGCGAGGCTGCCGACTCTTCGTCTGTTTGCATCTCGAACTTTCCGTTGGCTGCTCAACAAAATTGAGTTACAAACCCCCTCATCACCTTATCTGCATCATGTCTTATTCATAGCGCTTCTGTGCCCTAATTTGGACCCTGATGTTATCAGATATTGTGCTTCTTGCAAATTACAGCCAAGTCGACGCCTCCCTGCACACAAACTAAATCAGTGTGAACTTGATTCCCCTTCGCTCCCTGAGGTGGAAACAGCTCCAGCAGAGAAGTGTGAGCTGAAATCTAAACCTCGCTGCCAGTTTGCCCGTCGTTTTCAGCTCTTTTTTTTTTACTTATTCTTAGTTATATATTTATTTTGAAGGAGCGATCAAAGCCGATTTCCCAAAGAGCTTCCAACTGTTACCGTCAACATCCTCAGTCACAGCTCTCTGCATGAAAGCCTGGCTGTGTTTATGTTGTTCAGTGAGCAGTGAACCTCTTGATCTTTCAGCTCTGCTGGTAGCCTCTTTTCTTCTGTGCCACAATACTTCCAAAGAGTCAACAAATATGGAAGCTACTGAACACAATTCTGCAAACAAAAGCTTAGAGTATCGAATGTAAAATGATCAATAACGTTCTCTTGTAAGCTGTTATCTAACAAAGAATGTGTCCAGAGGTAATTCAGGCCACGAGACGATTATCTTCAAACCACCATGTTGCTACTGCGTTGCATTGTTTTGTGTTGTTTCTGTTGTTTGAGAGTTTTGATAAGGCCCCTGGGATTTGCTTTTCCCCACAGCGCTACAGATTGCGGCTGCATCTTCCAGACTGTGGTCACATTCGTTCACCCCTGAACACCATTAGCAGCATTGATGCTTATTTACTCCCGTTATGATGAAAATAGCTTCTCAAAGCGGCAGCTTGTCTGATTTTGTGCTTTCATCCAAATAAAGTTTTGAAAAGTTCAGCCAAACTCTGGGTACATGAAACAACAATCTTAATATTCAGCCCATCGACCGATAAATCAGTCAGTTAACAGATAAGAAGATATAATTCTTAAAGGGGCACTGCCTCCAGACTTAAAGTAAAGCAGATCCTAGAAAATATTTGAAACAATTTAAACTTGGAAAGAAGTTAAACATCTGTTCAAGTTGTCAGATTCATCCTAGATGATGCATCACAGCCTCTTTATGGCCTCTGCAGACTTCCTCTGCCCTGACAGCTGTCACACCCTCCAGTGTCGCTCTGTTAAACAAATCTGACTGATATTAGGTGTGTGAAGCATTTTGCTGTCAAGTGTCTGCCTGTAATTATCGTTTCTTTTCTCTTGTAGTTAGATTTGGACTAACTAACCAACCTAGTAACAAACTGAAACTTGCATTAACAAGCTGCAAAGATCTGCTAGATGTTTAGAAAGGTGATTTATATGTCTCCTACCTCATTTGATTCACATTTTTCATGTAATTCATTACATTTTCTTCTACTTCATTTGCTACATTTGGAATAATTGATGCTGATTTCTGATTTAAGGTCTGTCTGATTGATTCATTTATAAATATCCCCTAGAGTGGGCTGCTTCAGTTACCCATTGTAGGATTTCTGTCTTACATACAAGAGCACTTTTACAAAAAATGAATGCACGCTGCATGAATCTGTTTAATTAGAGTCATAATAAAAAAATGAAAGAGGGAATCTTTCTTACCTCTCTGTGTAGACGATAAATCACAGATCTTTAATCTACCAGCCAAGTGAATGAAGGCATGCGTAACACTCCCAATTTTTTATTCTAATGTCTTCTACTTCCTTTGTCACATTTAGAATAATTGATGATAATTTCTGATTTAAGATCTGTCAGTTTTATTGATTTACAAATATCCCCAAGTTAGCAAAAGCAATGCACTTTCAGTCACATTGTAGGATTTCTGGTTTAAATAAAGCAGCACTTTTAGCCTGCATGCATTTATTCAATTAAAGTCATTATAAAAAATGAAAGAAGTGATTTTTCTTCTTACCTCTTTGAGTTGAAGATGAATCATAGATCTTTTACCTACCAGCTAAGTGAATGAAAGCATGCACTGCCTGATTAAAAACAACTGTTATAAAAGGATCTGTATGATTAGTGTCTATAAAAAAAGCCTCATCCTTTTGCTCTATCCTTTGTCTCTTTTCCAAAGGTCTCCTGCCTGCAACAAAGACCAACGTCTCTCTATGCAGCAGCTAATCAGGGGTAAGAATGTTCTTATTAGGAAAGTATTTCCTGGTCAAGCAAAACAGTGGCCTTTGTTTCTCAAGTACCACGACTGAAAAAAAAAGAGAGGGAGAATTATACGAGGAAGCAGGGGATTGTGGTCGGTGATTATTTTCATGCATTCAAGTGGTTCGTAGGTGGTTTGCATATGTCCTTTGATATCTCAGTAAACAAGAGGTTACACAAGAAACACAGTAATATATGAATACATTTTAAAGGCAAATCAGCACCAACACTTATTTTAATGTATTTTAAAGCCCTTTATTCAGACCAGGTTCATGACTACATAGATATGGAATGATCAAGATCTCGGAGCTCAAAGGATGGAAAGAGAAGACAAAGTTACGCTGAGTTTTAAGTTAATCTTCTAATAGCAAATGAGACGAGGCAGAATCTGAAACTGTAAACTTGGTCTGTTTATCCTCTCTTCAAAAGGAGTACAAGTACAGAGCTGATAACTAAACAAAACAACAATGCGACCCATTTATGAGAGGAAACACATAAAGGAAACATCATGGAGGTTGATCTAAAGCATGTTTTCTTCTGGTGAAGATGATTATAATACAAGACATGAGCTAAAATATGAAAATATAACCACTGTGTAATAGTAAAACAAACGTTTGTATCAGGATGTGCCCTTTCATTTGAACATGTCAGATTTATAATGTTTAAAAAAAATGAAACAACTTACGCGAATATGTGGGAAACTGGGGTTAAAACGATGATGGCACTGTAAGATTTGTGATTAAACCCTTTATAACACAGGCTTTCATTTACAGGCTAATTTCATTGTATTACTAAGAGACTAATAAAATACCGACCCGCTCCAAGCAACACTTAAAATGCAAAGGAAGAAAATGAGATCATAGGGACCAAAGTAGTGACAACTGGGCAGGAGAAATGAAATCAACTTAGATTTTCTACATACTGAGTACCTATAGTGTACACAACTCTGCAGCAAAAACTGAAGTTTCAGAAAAATAGGGCTACCAATCTTTTTCTTCCAACAGCCTAAACACATAAAATGCTCATTGTCGCTCAATAATAAACGTTACTGCGGTGTGTAGGAGAGACTACAGTAAAAATGAGGAGTGCTGAGAAACAGCCGCGGGGACTCATTATCATGTCTTCTACTTCATTTGCCACATTTGGAATAAGGAGACTGTGAGAAATGGGTCTGTATTTTTCAAAATCGTAGCAGACAGGTAGACTGCAGGAGAAAACAAATGACTACGGATGAGTTGTGGTGCCATCTGAAGGAGACGACAACGTGATATGGTCATATAATAATATAACGTAGATGTAAGTGTCTCACAAGTGGCTAATCTGTCATTTTTAATGGTAATTAGTATTTTAATGACACGGGAAGGGGCTTTGTTACACAGGACTGCACTTTGTAGGAACCCAGTGTTTACAAAAATACTTGAAAGTTTGATTTAATCCTCCAGTTACTGCCTTCTTGTTTTCTTCCTATTTTAAGAATCAGTTGAAAGTTGACGTTATTGTACTGATGTATAATTCATGCAACAACAAAAAAAAAAATTACAGGGTAAAACACAGCATGTGTTATGTTCTTTCTTGTGCTTCTTTTGTTTGATTTTTGCATCGTATTTGGCGAAATTCGTCATAACTTACAATATTTAGCACAACAGGCTCAGCTGGAGTCTTTAAGAGATGATTAAACAGGAAGAACAAATTCGGGGGGGAAAATGAATCTGACACGATAATATGCTCATACAGTTCACATACAGTACAAGGATTGCGGTCATGTATGCACAGAGACTGTACACATGGATACACAGACGCACACAAATAAACACCCGTTCTCATTCACGCGCACGCAGCAACTTCTACACCCACACGCAGACGCACTCTCTGTAGATCTGGTGTCGTATTTTTGTCTCGACTTCAGAGTGAGTCAGCGCCGTGCTGAGTGCTGAACTCCTGGAAATCCTCTGGGATGGTGTCTGCAGAAGTGACAAGGTAGGTTCTATTATGAGACGAGCTCAAAATCTCAAACTTGGTGAGGCCAAACTACTAATTCTCAGCTGCAGTCTGCATGCAACAAGATAAAGCACAACGCTGTCCTAGACACAAGTCATAGAGGTCAGGAAGGAAGATTTGTAAGGACGACTGAGTTGAAATAACACCATTAGTTTATAATTTTAGAGCAAAAACAGAAAGTTGGTGTTAGGAGCATTTCGTCAAAGTGTTTTCTTACCGTTGCAGCGGTATTTCAGATTAGACCAGATGATGTTTTCTTGCGAGAAGCAGAACACGCCGAGTCGTCCTCCTCTCATAGTCGTATCAATAGTCACACCAGAGTCTGCAACCAGCTCAGTTCCCTCATAAAACCGGGCTCTAAACAAAGCACAAAAAGGGATTTTTGCATTTTTTTAAATCTCTGTGTTGGGCATCTTGTTGATAGTTAGACAAAAAGACTGACAGCATTTCTTATATTTATTTGCTAAACATCCCGCTACATCCAGGAGATGGACAGCTTGGCTTTCTATCAAGGCTGGAAACGGTGAAAAAAACCACCAGCCTGACTACTAACACTTCTGAGTCTCACTTATTAACACACTACACCAATCAGCTGCAACATCAAACCCACTGACAGGTGGAGACAAGAACATTAATTATCTTGTTACAATGACACCTGTTAAAAGGTGCGATATAGAAGGCAGCAAAGGAACAGTCAGTTCTTGAAGTTGATGTGTTGGCAGCAGGAACAACAGGTAAGTGTAAGAATCTGAGCAACTTTGACAAGAGCCAAACTGTGATGGACAAAAGAACGGGCCAGAGCATCTCGAAACTGGCAGGTCTTTTTGGGGTGTTTCTGGTGTGCAGTGGTTAGGACCTAGAAAAAGGGATCCAAGAAAGGACAACCAGTGAACCAGTGATGGGGTCATGGACATCCAAGGGTCACTGACTGAAACCTGTCCACATCTGAGGATTAAATCTGGACCATGAAGGTGGTCTGGTCTGATGAATCCCACTTTGTCTCTGATTATATGAATGACCGAGTACATCGTTAACTTAAGGAAAAGATGGCAGAACTGATGGAGGTAGTGTTCTGGGCAATGTTCTTGGATCCTGCCATTCATATGGATGTTACTTTAACACGTACCACCTACCTAAACATGGTTGCAAACCATACACATCCCTTTAAGGTATTACTTGATGGGAATGTCCTCTTTCAGCAGGATAATGCTCCCTGCCACAGTTGTCCAGGAATGGTTTAAGGAACATGACAAAGAGTTCAAGGTGTTGACATGGCTTCCAAATTCTCCAGATTTTGATCATCTGTGTAATGTGAGGCTCCATCTCACAGCTACCAGGATCTGCTGCTAACATCTTGTAGCTTGCTACTACAGGACACTCCCAGACGTCTTGTAAAGTCAATGCTTTGACCATTCAGAGCTGTTTTGACACCATGAAGGGAATCAGCATAATATTATTCAGGTGGTTTTAATGTTGTGGCTACTTGATACATGTACATCCTCTATGTCTGATATGATGAGGGTATAAATATAAGAGTGATATCCATCTTCTCACCACGCTCTTGGCAAGAAAGCGAAGACGGAATGAGTATTGCTTAAAATATCTGGAACACTGTTTTATCATACCTGATGTATCCAACCTGTGGGCGGTGCTGCAGGTACCAGCGATAGGACACCTTGTCCTTCCAGCCCACATTTCTTGGATCCTTCCACAGCAGACGCACCTGGTCGTTGGTGTCTCCAGTGTGCCACAGCGAGTTCCTCAAATGCTCCCCAGGGCCGGATCTAGACTTCACAGCCTGACACACAGAGACAGAGAAACACCGATAAGTGAGCAGGGATGTGGAAGCAGAGAGAGAGAGAGAAGAGAAGGCAGAAATGTGAAAAACATGTCGAGCGATAAAAATAGGATGAGAACGAATCTCCTGCTGGGGATTTGTGACATGACTTGTGCTTTCACCTTAAGCTGGATGCCGGGCTCGGCCACGGCTCTGAAAGGTGTTGCCTGCCAGTATGTCTGTTCGGTCTGCTTCCACATCACCACGTAGAAGGACGATGAATCCTGATAGCCAAAGATGAAGCCGGCGTAGTCGTCATCGGTGACTGTATTCACGTGAAACGTCCCCTCAAAGTCCACTCCACTGAAAGCAGTGTAACCTGACATCAGAGAGTGTAATCAGTACAATGTACATGTTTAGACGAGGCTTTTTCAACAACACTGTGTTTTACTGCTGATATTCAACTCAGAGGGGAAACACATCTTACCAACAGCAAGTCCTGGGTCGCTATTCATAGTCTGAACGATTTCCATTCCCTGTTCGACAAAGAGAGCAAGCTGGTGATGTTGAATTTTACATTTTAATACCTTAATTTGCTAAACTCATATTAAACTGAATATTGCTAAACTTCTAGATATAAACCTGCAGTGAAGGACTTTTTTACCACATTGGAAACAACATGGACATATCGTTACCTTTAAATGGATCTTGTGCAAGCAAAAAGTTGCCTATTTCCACATTTAGCAGTTAGAGTGCAGCTCCAGTTTATTTGCATTTTCAGCCATGACGTGAAAGCAGCTCTGATTTTTAGCTCAGTTTTTGGTCTCAACCAGCTTCTGGGTAAAGCATTTGGCTTTTAAACTGTTAAATGCTCCTCTATGTTCACCAGCTAGTCACTAACTGTGTCCAAACCACTAGTGAGCAGTGGGTTTTTAGGGCCTTTTGTAGAAAACAGCTGCCTGTTAACTTAGAAAACTATTCAAGGATAGCAGTAAGAGAGAAGCAAAACAGTAAAGCAGAACAATGAGCTATAAATCGCCACAAAGCCAAGGCGAGTGTCAAATTTAGGTGATAATTCTTTGTCGGTTCACAGCTACAAACGATCTCTTTCACCTTAAACACTGTCATTTACATGCATATAAAAACATCTATCACAGCCACTTGACTTGTAGGCCTTGTTTCAGCACTCAATATTCTCACCTGGTTCAGAACAACCCAGTTGGGGTCGATCTGTGCGTCGCCTTCAGGGTCCAGCACCACCGTCTGATAGGCCCTGAAGTCAGTCAAGGTAACCTCGGCATTCTCGGGGCAGTTGTCGATCCTGTCAATCACTTTGTCCTGGTCAAAGTCAGACTCACACACATCTCCAACACCATCGTCTGAGGAACAACAGAGGGAGGTTGAATTAAAGTTTAACAGATGAAGGACCTTTGTTTCATCTCAAAGAGCTTGAGGTACTTGTTAAATATCAACCCTTTTTATTTCAGTGTTTTTTCTGCCTTATTATGAAAAGGTTTTAGATTGGTTTCACCAAAGTGTCAAAAAAAAAAACCCCAACTCAATTTCAAAGAAAATAATACCCTCGTTCAGAAGCTGTAGAGCTGAATATAAATACAAAACACCCCACGTACTGTATGTTGCCAAAGGGCGAAAAATCAGTTTGTTCTGGAGTTATTCACTTTTAGTAAAGTTCGTCTGAGTTGGATGGACTTGTATTGAAGCTCACAATGGTCTGCTCAGGAGGTCAATCCATTAATGACCTGGTGCCTTATTGGATCTGATATTTAGCAGTTTTTCTGATATCGATATCTGTAGATCTTTACTCATCACTCTGTGGTCAATATCCAGCCCACAGCACTATCTGATTGGTTTCAAGCCATTAGGAACAGTCTGTCGGCATTGGAGGATTAAATGGTGAAACGTTTGAAAAAGTATTTCAACTAAGTTTCGCATTGGAGATGGTGGTCTTCACCCCTGCTATGTGTCATTTGGTGAGTTTGTAATATGTTACTTGCAGCTCTGAATCTGTCCAATGGTGCAGATTATTAAATGTAAGACACAAATGATTGAGTTTTCCTTACATATTGGAGTCTTGATAGGCTATTAAGACTGCGAATGTGTGACAGCCACCGCTGACTGCACACAAAAAGGTCACAGACTTTGGTGGTTGTTAGTATAAAAGCTTTGCTGCGTGCTGCATTAATGGCTTAATTTGAGAAATGTCTCACTTAATGTCTTGATTAATTCTTTTGCAAGCACAGCAGGCAACTTTTTGTGTATTTGCTGATGTACTGTTGTCTTTGCACAAGGCCACTATTTCATTGTGCTTTATAGCAGCGGTAGACAGAGAAGGTACATCATTAGGATGCAGCTGAACATACAACTCTAATAAACATCTTTGGGACACCCTGAAGGTCTCTCTCCGCTCTGCATCACTGAACTCTGACTGCCAACAAAAACTGCCGTGCCCCACTTGATTTGAATTGACACTTAACTCCCGTTCGCTTCAGAGACCATTTTAACAGAAGTAATGTCACAATGAGTCATAAAATTGGCAAACGAGTTCAAGCACAAAAAATTGTGCTTTTTACTCCCCCCCCCCCACCACCAAAATTGCCACTTAATCTGTTCAAGGTTGCCACAGCTTGATCGGCGTGGGCGTGAAATGGGGCCACGGAAAAACGCACATAAATGTCAGTCAGTAACAGTTCAGGGAGAATAGGGGCATTTAGATGAAATTATCTTTGAGCACTAAGCTGGTTTTCAGCCAAAGACATCAACTATAATATCTGCACATTACTGTAAACTGTTGTCATTGCGAGGGTTTATGAAGTGCTTCATATTGAGACTCACTGTTGTCGTCAGTCTGGTCAGGGTTGGGTACCAGCCGGCAGTTGTCTGGCCCTGGTGGAAGGGTGTCCGGGATCCCATCATTGTCGTCGTCGTCGTCACACTCGTCGCCCAGCCCGTCTTTGTCGGTGTCCAGCTGGGAGCTATTGATCACGAGCGGGCAATTATCCTTGGTATCCTGGTGACCATCGCCATCGCTACAGGGGGGGAAATGACGCAGCAAAGGTGAGAAACGTGAAGAGGTTGGAGTAGAAGTGCAGGTTTACAGCACGGAGATTGTGGCGGTGGTGATACCTGTCTTGGTTTGTGTCACATGAGTCTCCAACCAGGTCATTGTCAACATCAGACTGAAGGGAGAGAAGAAAGTAGGAATGAAACTGTCTGAAAATACTCCATTACACTGAAGATCTCAGTAAGCATTATCAGCAGACTGCATATGTGTTTGATTTGCACCTTAATGTCTCCTGTGACTCAGATGACTGATGCAATATGACCCAAATGGTTAGAAAAGAGGAAGACTACTACACAAACTTCATTTATCTGACCTTTTTGCGAATGGGTTTGAAATTCTGGAGCATCTTTACCTGTCTGAGCCTTAAAATATTATCTAAACAAAACCATCTTCAGCAACACAGACTCATTCTAAGATGTGAAATAACTCATAGCTATATGCAGTGGAGCAAAAACTACAATATTTCCGAAATACTTCAACCTTATACTTCAGTACCTCACTAGGCTAAATGTACTCGGTTACTAGACGCTACTGTTATGCATCCATCTGTGTGACTCTGAGTGACCTGATTTGGGTTGGGGATGTCGGGGCAGCTGTCGCAGGCGTCTCCCACTCCGTCTCCGTCCCGGTCCAGCTGGTCTCTGTTCTGGACTCGTTGGCAGTTGTCCAGGAAGTTCTTCAGACCTGCACAGCACCCAGAGGAGATAGTTAGAGCCACTTAACACTCAAACCCAGATCTGATTGGATTTATTCAGAGCATGAATCAGCTAGAATTTGGATAATTAATCATTTAAGTCAATTTACAGCCAAAAATCCCAAACATTCTGCCGTTCCAGCTTCTCAGTTGCAAGTAGTTGTTGCATTAATTTGCTGTAAACAGAATATTTTGAAGTTCTGGATGTTTTTCTGGGGCAAAACACTCAATTCAAAGATATTGCTTTGGAATTTAGGAAAATGTGATGGCTGTTTATTTTTATTTTCTGGCATTTTATGGACAAAACAATGAATAGAAATGCCACATATGTATCAGCAGATGACTAAATGCAAAAGTAACTGTTATTTTAGATCAATTTCTGTGACTGTCCCTTTTACACTTAGAGATTTTTTTTCAAGTTAAAGAGAAATTTACATTCAATCAGCGAATTCCCAGACATTTTGAGCCAGCGTGCAATCGACCGCAGCCTGTCCTTTGTAACGTCACCACTAGGATGCACTGTTGCATTTGCTATGTAGGTGAGGCCCGTCTGTGCTTGGACGGTATTTTTATTCATCGCAGGGAGGCAGCAGCAGCACCACAAATGCTTAAAGGTCAAGCTGCAGCGATGGAAGAAAAACTATCTTCTGTCCTGTGGGGCTTTTTGAGGTGTAATCATACTGGTGGATGATCAAAGCTTGTGTTTGCTCTGGGGTCAGACTGCTGTTGGCTTTGATTTTTTTTTCTTCTGCATTGCTGTTTGTCATGCCTCAGCTGGCTTATGAAATCTTCCATGCCACTACATAGTGATACCTTTAAACAACACGGTTTAGAGAGCCCTGCAACTAAGTGTAAAATCTGTGTGCATGAGGGCGATTCTTCATTAATTTATCGTGGTGGAGACAGAGAGGAGAGAGCAGAATAATAAGTCATAACAGTGATTGCCCACAGTGATGCTGCTTATATAACAAGAACGTCAATGTTAGTGATGTAATTTCTCCCCATACCATCTCCATCCATGTCGTCATCGCAGGCGTCCCCTTTGCCGTCGCTGTCAGTGTCCCTCTGGTCAGGGTTCTCCACCATGCGACAGTTATCGCAGGCGTCGCCGTGGCCGTCTTTGTCGCTGTTTCTCTGGTCCACGTTGGGTTTTAACCAGCAGTTGTCCTGAGAGACACACAGAGATCACAGAGGTCTCATTCACAGCATGTGTATTTCAGTCTGGATATGTTTGCAAATGCAAATGTGTGTGCCTGCAAAAAGGCTTCACTTGCATGTGGGGTGTTAATGTGTGACGCTGGAAAGTCTGAGCTCCTGTGTGCTTCAGAGCTGGAACTGTTATTTGATTAATCCATCAGCCGGTCAACAGAAAACTGTTTGGATGATTAATTAGCTGTTTGATGAGATTGTTAAACACTATGCAGACAGTTAGATAGAACATTGATACCACTCATCATGTGTGCAAGGTGAAATAGGGAACAGTTTGTTAACTTAGCTTAGCATAAAAACTGAAAACAGGGGAAAACAGCTCCTAAAAAAACAGTCAAATTGTGATTTAAAGGGTTTTTTTTTTTGCAACTGATAGTTAATTTTACACTTAATTCTTTGTACTGCTGAAAATGATAATGATGAAAAATGAAATATAACAGAGTGATTATTGAACCTAAAAGCTTTAGACTAAGTAAGACGAGCTGTATCCCTTGTTTTACAGTCCCTAGGCTAAGCTAAGCCTTTGTATTTAGTGCACAGACAGACAGGAGGAATCCATCCTCTCATCTGTCTCTTGGCAAGAAAGTGCATTTCCTAAAATGTCAAACTACTCCAATCTCTGATTCCAGCTTCTTAATTGTGAGCATGTGCTGCTTGCATCTGTCAAATATGACGGTAGAATGAAAGTCTTTGGGTTTTGGACTAGTGGACTTCGCTGGGCTTAAAGTCCCCTTCTGGTTTTTGATATAACCCTTAAAAATTCATCTCTGTGTGTCAGAGTTACATATTTAGGTTTCATTTTTTCCAAGAAAACAATACATCCACACCTTAAAATACCTTAGATGTAACTCTACACTGTTGCTTCTTCTAGAATGTGGGTATCTATGAAGTCCCTGCCTCTCTTCCCACTCACACTCACTGCAGCTTGGGCACACCAGCTCACCTTAGACTCTGTTTAAACACTGTAAAGCTACTCTACACTACACAATGGCAAGTTGTATTATTGCCGTATTTCAGCTGTGCATGTCTGACCCAGAAACTGATTCTGAGGAAGAATAACAATACAGAAAGCCCCATCCTGCAAGTTGACATCATGTATAAAACCTTGGAAGTCTGAATCTGTGATTTTTTTTTCTTTGTAGTCTCAGTGAGGAGATGCTCAGCCGTGGTGTTTCATTTCACTCATGGTGTGTCTTTCATATCATTCCACTGACATGTTTACAAGGTAAAAAAAAAAATAGATTTTTAGGTTTTTATAGAGACTTTTATGGACTTAATCAATCAACAAAAAATTTACCGATTAACAGATAATGAAAATAATCTCTTGCATCCTTGCAGACAATATTTCCACCGACCTGCTCGTTTGGAATACCATCACCATCTGCGTCGTCATCACAGGCGTCTCCCTGACTGTCCCTGTCAGCGTCCTCTTGACCAGAGTTAGGAACGAAGACACAGTTATCCTGTAAAAAACAAATGTGACAGTTTAATTACAAAAAAAGAACTTGCCAATTAGGCCAAAGTTGCATTTGCTGACAGTTTGCACCTTGCTTACCTTTTTGCAGTTTGCATCCTTGCATTTAAGTTTCTCGTCTGGATATCCATCAATGTCGGTGTCCTTCCCGCACAGATATCCATTACCAGCCCAGCCAATTCCACACTGACAAGACAAATGAAACTCCTCAGAAACTCAGACAGAATGCATATAGATTCATGCATACATACAGTATATTTGAAGAGGTAGTACATAAGAGCGTGTGAGTGGTGTCAAGTCCTACCTGACAGGTGACGGACCCGTCTCTTTCCACATTACACTGGGCGTTGACATCGCAGGGGTTGGTCAGGCTGTTGCCACAGCTGATCTCCGGCTTGCAGCCCTTCACCTGATCTCCTGTGAAGCCTGACTTACAGCTGCCGCAGTGATAGGAGCCCTGTGAGGGAATTAGGACAGCTGCACATTAACTTCATTGAACAGCCATTGAAAAAAAAAAAAAAAAGAAAAGGAGCTGGTGGTTGGACAATAGACTGCAGACATCTTACCACAGAGTTGTGACAGATTGAGTTTGCAGCACAGCCTCCGTTGTCAGGTCTTTTGCATTCGTCAATGTCATCGCAGACCTGGGTTGTGCGAAATGAGTCAAACGTAACGTGAAATAATCCAAATGTTTGCTTTTGTGACAATTTGCCTTCCTTTCCTAGCTTCAGATTTCATTGTTGCAATAATTATTGGATGAAAACAGACATTTCATCCCTGAAAACCCAGATACTGGAGCTCAGGCTTGCCATTCAGGAACACTCACAGCAAATTATAGTGTTCGTATTATGTACACATGGGATAGAATAAAAGTTTGTTTGGTTGGGACCTAGAAATGAATAACACTGTAAATACTTCTTCAACTACCTGATGCATATTAAATTATTACATACTTCTGGCTGCAGGCTATAATTACCTTAAAAAGGGGTGAGCAATGACTGCTTTATTTTACAGCTGACAAACTCCAGCTACATTTTTAATGCCTTGTTCTATTACCTCAGCTGGAATTACCGATGCATGCTTTTTCAGATATACTTGGCAAAAACAGAGAAAATGAATGTGTCATTTGTTAAATTGATGAATAGCTCTGCACACTCCTGTGATTTGTCCCCAGATCTTAGTAAAGCTTGTGTCTGAGTGTATGTATCTGGCAGGAAATTGTTCTCGGTTCTTCGTTAATTCTAGTTCTGGTTGTCAGACCCTTCATTGGACCCCAAAAAGACATTACTTTCACCAGTGTTTTAATATTATTTTAAGCGCATGGACATAGCTGGCTACAGCCTCGGCCCGGGCTTAGTGTAACATAACGATGGCCAGCAGCTACAACAGTGTAGGCTATTGTACATTCAGACTGATAAATAATCCATATCTTAAAACTTTATAGGATCATTTTCCAAAATAAACTTTAATTGTCAGTATGTAACTGCTTTAAAATACAGCAAAGTACAATAATAATGTCATTGCAATGTTAACATGAGCCATGTTTCCATTCAAATTGATCTCAAGTCATAAAAATCAGCAAAAACTAAATGCGATTCATGTACTTTCGCTACTATTATGTAAATATCTGGAGCTGGTGCATCAAGATAAACAGCTGGTTGTGTTAATTTACCAACTGGGCGCCTTGAAATCGGCTCAACAGGAGCACATTAAGATGATGAAATTAAAAGACAGAATGTCAAATCTTTAAAAATGACTATTGTGTAGAATCCTGATTTTAAAAAAAATGTGGCATTTGTGTTTCATATTTTAAATTTGAGTCTCCTCATTACTCCACAAGGACCTAATATTTAAGTCTGCTGCCACCTGAAGTTTCAGTCGATGGTTATAGGTTCTCTTTGTAAAAATCAGGAAACCCTCGTGGATGTAAAGTGAACCATATTCATCACCTTCAGTCAGTGGGTGCAAGTGAGCATCCTGGACAAAACAGTGACGTGACAAACATGAGACTGAACACGACTGACTGACTTCATGTGAATTAATAACTAAAGTGAAATTTTTATTATAGTGACTACATTTGAAACTTCAGACTGTATTAGTCTCTCCAGCTCTGGCAGACTGCTACACTGAGGGTGGAGATAAAGATCGCTGGAGAGTTTATGTTGGAGTCTGAGCTGTGCTGGGAGCCGGTCGCTTGTTGACATTAGTGGAGTCCATTTCTGAGCTAACAGCAGCTAATGTTGCACACTGCTGGCACAGTAGGGAAGCAGCCACTGCTTTGGATTCTTCTGGAAAATTCTACCTGCATAGAAATCGGTCTACAGGCCAATTACAGCCTGTTAGATGCAGAATGTATGCAACTTTTTATTCAATAGGTCAATAGGAAATATAAGAAGCTGCTAATAATGGCAACTTGAGTGGTCTTGGTGAGCCATTACAAACAGGACATCTGTTTTAAGACGCCTTATGGGAACGAACACCCCATATACATGACAGTTGCCAAAACCTGACATACAAACTGGCTCGGATAGGAGGAAGGCTGGATGTAATAACAACCGACTGGATGACTACACTGCGAATGAAGCTCCTCTGTTCACACAATGGCAGGGAAAAAAGCAATTAATGCATGTAAAACGCTTCACATTCTTAACACAGGGGACCTTTAAGTGACTTTTGTGGATTCGATAAGTCTGTCTCTATTGTCTTTGATTGTTTCTTTTTTTGACTTTTTGTGAACTGTTCGAAAATGTGCACATGATTCACACAATTTTAAAGAATCTTTACATTGAAATTTATTTATAAGTCTTTCACAAAAACCAACTTATTCCCCCCTCTTGTGTCTTCTTCCCCTCCACGTACTTATTTTTACCAGGTATAGGTGGCACATAACTAACCCTGCATTCTCTTGCAGCACAAAAACATGGAATATCCTCTTTAAAATGAAATTTTATGTCTCCTTTGATCTGTAATTTGCATGCACTTCTGTTTAACTCTGTCGTCATTTTGCCTCTGTGTCCTCCACTCTTACCTGTTTGTTGGTCTGAGCGTACACGATGCCCACTCCCTCCACCGGCAGGCCGGTGTAGCCCAGAGGACAGACGTCGCAGCGGAAGCCCGGGGCGGTGTTCACGCATTTCACTCCAGGGAAGCAGGGGTTAAACTGGCACTGCAGAAAGGAGGACATGAGCTGTGTTGAAGCTGCAAAATGTATGTGGTTCTCACAGGGCTTCTCCCCAAAAGCTTTTAGGTCTGATGACACTTTTGCTCATGCAAAAAAGAGAATGCTGAAGGGGCCAGTCCTTGGAAAAGAGGTCAGTGCAAACGCGAGAAGACAGACAGGAAAACGCACTCACACATCCTTGAAGTTCTATTGTTATGAGATCCTCTGTCTGCAACAGTCGTCCTTTAAAGTTTATCCCCAAACTTCTATCTTTACCTGTGGCTTTGGTTCCTAAACTGCATTATGCCATGTTTACCTTTGGGAAGGACCTTTTGATCTCATGTGCCAGCTCAATTAATCTACTTCCAGAATTCTGTCTTTAACTATAAACAAAAAAGGGATGACATATACCCAAGAACTTTCTTATGAACCTTTGGAGGCGCTCATGTCACCCAACAAAAACTTTTCTAGATCATCATAATACACTCATGTACAGCTCTACGTTTTCGGTGACCATCTGTCGTAGAGATCTTCTGTTTAAGATGCACATTAGAAATTAGTGAGGGTCCACACATCAGTTTTTTTTGTCAAATGTTATTCCTGCACTTCTCAGCTTAGATTATGTCCAATCAAACTAAATGTCTGACAATACAGTTTGCTTATATTTTGTCAACAGAGAAAAAGTGCCACATCCACCCAGTAAAATTCACACTTTACCCACCCACTTACTACATGGCTATTTATATTGTTGTTGCTATAAAACTGTGGAACTGTTGGACTCCCATCACAAACTTGCTGATTGATAACACATTGTGTGATGTGCGATCATAAATTTTTTAAGTCTGTTTTTTGTTGGCGATGGATCCAACAGGTGCAAGCAGTAACTTTGGAGACTTAAGACTCCATGTGTCACCATCCACAAACCCATGAGCAGTCCTCACAAAGGAATAGCCCACAGTCTCCAAGAGTGAAGAACCGCGCCAGGTCACACCAAGAGGATGCTTTGTTATGAATTCACTGGGTTGTGTCAACTCTAAAGCTCTGTTCTAACATACTGAGATTGAAACAACCTCATCTGTGGCACAATGGAGACTGGGTGCTCATGATAATGTGCACATTTTTTTAAAAGCAATTTAGCACAATCATCGCCTTCCTAATCAGATTTTGCTCCCTGCAACTTCTTCATCTTCCCCAAAATTAAAATCCAAGTCAAAATGTTGCTGTTTTGACACAGTGGAGGAGATCCGGTGTTCAGCACAGATGGTTTAATGTGTTTGATACACTTACAGGACTCCCAGGGAGAGCTCAAAGCATGGCAGGAGCACTGGGAGCAGTGTATTGCTGCACAAGAAAACTACTTTGACGAAGATGCTGGCCAAATTTGAATCAGTCTTAGAACATCGCACCTGGCATAAATAAACAGTTTGTTGCAAACAGATATTTATATACCAAATATATGCATAGCAAACTCTGGCATCACCTTCATTCAACGGCATCAAGGTGTACGCTGTAAATCGAGGACACCCCTTGAGGTGGATTAATCACACTCTGTTAGCGTACAGTGTTCTTCATCTGGATCCAAAACCAGAATAGGAACTTGCTGCTGTGTGCCAAACATATATAGTCAATATAGGCCAACTTTGTCTTTCTTAAACTCACCGTAGCTATGATCTTTTAAAAAAAAGCAACCCAAGTCGTAACTCTAAAATGTAAAAACTGAGGGTGAACAAGGACGTCCAGAGTTTATAATAATGTCCTTATTGTGTACTTAAACTCATTTGACTGTCTGCGGGGTAGAAGTATGGAAACACACACACGTCGAACTTTACCTCATCCACGTCATCACAGCTGAAACCATCTCCAGTGTATCCATCAGGACAGGGCCCACATTCAACACCATCTGCTGTCTCTATACAAACATCGTCACGGAAACAGACTCCTGGAGTACACCTTGGTTTCACCACCTCAGTACCACCCAGACCTTTAGGTAAGAGAGACATAACAGATTTGTTTTTTTTATCTGCCATTTCCAATTTCTTTGTTAAACTGAAATATCTTGTTTACTGCTGAGGGGCAGTGATGGTTATTGGAGATCATCTTACCACAGGCCTGACACTCTGAGATGGTGTTTCTGAGAAAGGAGGTTTCTTTAACCTGGAAAGGGTCAAACATAAACACGTTTATATGCAGTTACTCGAGCTGTCAGGGAGGTCAGGGTTGAGGAGGTAGGGATTAAGTGGCCTCAGAGGAACTGTTAGCTAGTTACCTGCTGAATGAGGACGTCTTTCAGCTCATTTATCACCTTTGTTAACTCCAGCATTTGATTGGACAGCTGCTTTGTGTTGACCCCTAAGAGAAAGGGACTGTTATTCTCTGTTTGACTGGAACAGAGGTGGGGGATGCACACCCCTGACTCACACTGTTTTTTATTTCTCTATAGCTCGGATTGTTTTTCTGGGAAACATTTGGCTGTCTTTGTGCACATGCACTTCCACAGACAGAATCTTACCCAGGGTTTGAACAGAGTCTCTTTGCTGGAAATGGCAGTCTTGTAATGAAGCAACATTCTCAAACGAGTCCCCAACCACCAGCTTTAGCTCATCTAAGCTCTCCTGTTAGAATAAAACAAGTCAAAGCAGGCAGCTAAGCCATTTGGAAAACCTACAGAGACATCACTGAGACAGAAACACATTCTTTATTGTATGGAAATGTTCTAATGTGATGGGTCACCTGGTCTCTGGCTTGCATGGTCTTTAGCTCCACCATACCATAGCCTGCTGGCAAACCCTGGAAGGCGGCTGGGAGATCCCTGACTGTCTCCACCAGCCTGCAGTCCAGATGCAGCTCCACCCCGCCTGGCCCCTGCTGCTGCATCCCCCTCAGGTGGAACAACAGTCGGTGCTGCTGGCCGTCTGCCAACACCAGGTTGTTGAAGGTAACAGAGCTCATCCTCTTGTCACTCCGCAGGTAACGTAACACAGCTTTGAGAGGACGTGGCGGTGAATAAGGAACAAAGACAAACAGGAGCTTATTGCATTTAATGAAAAGGGTTCATTCATCTGTATTCTAGCAAGAGAAAAATGTGACGTTAAGCAGGTATGGTGCCATTTTCACCATCTTTGTTTAGCGTGCTAGGGTGTAGCCTTTGCTAATTAGTACTAAAGAAAACATACAACTGAGGATAATGGCGACATTGTTAGCTGTGCAGGAAGACACCTGGACGTAAAGCAAAGTGGAGTCATTTACATTTTGACATCTAGAGTGATCACATAAATGCCCTCCAAATATCATGTCAATCTATTCAAAAGCCTTTGAGATATTTCAATCTGGACCAAAAAGTGAACTGATCGATTGACTTTCCTCCAGCAATAACGCTAGAATGGTTAAAACTTGAAATTCTCATCCTTATTTTTAGCCATCCATCGCTGAGATTTCCTTTCATTTTTCACAGCAATGAATAATCACATATTAAAAGGCCTACATCAATTTTACAAAAGCAATGTCCTGATTACACTCAATAATCCACTAAACTCACTGTGATTCATTTTAATAACTGCTCGACAAAGACTGTGTTTGATGAACGGGCCACGGCAGCAGGGACACTAACTCTAAAAAGTTGCTGCTGATAATTTTTATAATAGTTTTTATTTGGGCTCAAAGCTCTGGTAGTGTTAGTAAAGTTGGTGCAGTTGTAGATTTGTAAAATAGAGGCACAATAGAGCAAAAAAATTAAGACTCTTTAAACACCAACACTAGCTACTCTTGAACAATCCAGTCTAAGAACTGTCTGATGAAGACTAGTCTCACATAGCTAAACCACAGATCGGTCTGACTGCACTTTATTATTATTCTGCTGTTGGGGGAAAATGGTTGACTTTTGTGTATTTCTTTACACTAAATTGCAATCGCTTGGGGAAATGCTAAGCCCAGGATGCAGCAATGGTGTCCCTACAAAATAGCAAAGGGGTGAATTGTTTTGGTGGAACATTTGCACACAGAAAGGCAAGTACTGTAATTAAAATTAACTACAAGAACCGTACAGGCGTCCCTTACTGTAGGATCTAAATTTATACCAAAACTTGCAGTTCAACCTTGCTACTGTCTGCATAGAGATTGTTGTTGTTTCCGATAGTAAAGGCGATTTGAAGGAAAGAAATGGAAGTCCTTTACCTTAAATCTACATCTGGTGAGTCATGCTGGATAAAGACTAACAAGTCTTACTAATGGGTTCATTTTTCAGAGCAAAACTCATTCATTTAGCCAATGCTGTACTGAATTTCCCCTCTCTCTTTTTAATTTTGTTTTTGGTTTCCACAAACTCCTGAGGGAAATATCAGGCTAAATGCTTCTAAATGCTCCACTATGTTCACCAGCGTGTTGCCAGCTGTGTCTTTCTGCTGTCTGGTGTTGGCCAACTCCTGTACAGTCACTTTTTAGAGCGTTTTTTTTTTTTCCCCCCACTAAAAGCAAGTGCAGCTGGAGACAGGGTTGGTAAGAGGGTTATGAGTGAACCTAAACAGTAAAGTTACAAGCCGTAAAAAAATAAAACAATGAGCTGAAAGAGACTGAAATGCTCCGTGGAACAAAGAGAAACTGCAGAGTTTTAGGATAATTCCCTCCTTATGAGATTCTATTGTTATCATAAAAAATATTGATTAGTGCAGCTTTGAACTACCAGAGGCTCTTTCATGTCCTCCTACCTCTGTTGAGCTTCCCCATCACAGTGAACTCAAAGTACTTGCTGTTGTCCCGGGGGTTGTACAGGCCAAACACAGCGGTTCCGGTCTTGGGCTGCAACTTGAAGGAGGTGAGGATGAAAGCCTCATTCACCCCTTGCTCAGCCAGACCCCCCTGCAGCAGATCTGGCAGGCAATCAGGCGAGGTGAGCAGATCATAGACTGTTGACAGTGATAGGGAAGAGAGAAGCAGTAAAGCACATGAGTAATGGATGATGAGATATGAATATTTACAACCTGCAGTCGTGCTCCAATCCCAGAGTAAACACATCCTGAGTCGACAAGAAGATGATGATGATGTTGACCCAGTGTTTGTTGCTCTTGCGAGACGCTGCGTCAATCAGCCTGCGCAAACTTGGCTCGGAGAAAGCACGAGGAGGTGGATTTCTAAGTAAATCAAAGCTATGTGCTGCGACTGTTAGATGCATGATGATTTTATCACTTTTTATTAAGTCTCTGCTAAGAACAGTTTGACATATAAAACGTATTTAAGCTTTCATTTACGGGGCTGTGCTGCATTAACCGACAGGCTGCCGAGTAAGACTGAAATGCAGGAGAGGGGGAGAAGAACACTTGTGCTCATGGTTAGAGTCTCTCTTTAATAAAGTGACTTGGGAGCTGGGCAGGCCACAAGAGGATGTGCAGTGAATCTCTAGTCCACCATCTGCACACATCATGAATACACAAGTACCCTAAAAGCAGTCTGCAAGGTCCTCTGTTGTGAAGGAGCAAAATTGCTCCCAAATGCTCCCAGAGACCGGCCGTTGTCAGCCAAGATTGCCCCAGATGAGATCTCCCCGTCTTTCTTTTATCTCTCTCCACTGCCCCAGGTCCCTGGTGTTTCGTCAGACCTGTGGCATATTTCAATAAAACACACTGGCTTTTAAATACTGCTAAATGGGTCTTAGCCACCGAAAAATGCCTCCCTTTATTATGCTGTCAACTTCATTCCCATTAAAAATTAGATATGAAGGTCTTTTATGTTCATTATTATCAAGATCATCCTTTTAGAAAATTACACAATCAGTGAAAGTCCAAAAGTGAACACAACAGCAAGAGAACAAAGGGCCCTGCTTCGTGTCTCTGGAGTTACTGTAACACCACGAAAACATCTACACACAGGCGCTCACACAAAAGCACACAGTCCCAACGTTCATAAGTCATCTGGACAGAGGGCTTTCTTAGGGGTCAGGCTCGTCTTACACAAGAGACCCTGAAAAAGTGCCTCATTTCACCCCCTGATTAACCTCAGATTTCAAGCTTCATAAAACTAGTTCAGCTGGAAGCCATAAAGTAATCCAGCGTCTTGTTTTTTCCTTAACACCAGCTTATAAATCAGTCACGGTTAGTTTACTATAAAGTGTGCAAATGGTCGGCATTCTTTATTTTAGTGCTTAACAAATGCTTCACACTTGAGGGTTTGTGTGTGGAAAGCTCTGATTTATGGTGTGATGTTTAAAAGTCAGCCATTACCGCTGATGGAGGAATTACATCTTCAACTTTAGCATGTAGTTAACATAAACTGTGAGGTCATGTTTAGCCGTGAGTAATCTAAATAATAGGGACGCGCTGTGTTTCATGGAGGAATATTATGGTCAGTTTAAAGAAGGGAGGACCCAAATGCAGGATGTAGGAGGCGGATGAAAAATGCAAACCTTTGCAAGCAATGCAGACGAGGAGCGGGCAAAACTCCAACAACACAGAGAAGATTTACGAGGAACAAGGCCGAGGGAACAAACTGTAACGATTATGCTCTCGTGTGCATTTTCTGCATGAGACAAAAACATTTTAAATCTGCAATAACAGATTTTTTTTTGTGAGAAGCAGTAAGTTTAGTTGCTTATTTACACATACGGGAGTTTTAGAGCACTGTTGTCAGCTTCCCCTCTTTTAGCTCTGTTTTTGGTTTCCACCACCTCCTCAGTTGCTAAACGCTATGTTCGCCAGCTAGTTGCTCCCTGCGTCTTCCTGCAATCTTATGCCGAGCAGGTACGGGTTTATAGAGGGAACAATTGCCAGAAAACAACGCTATTAAAGCGATGAGAGTGAACCAAACAGGTAAGGTTGTGGGCCAGGTGACTAAACGACAAGCTGAAACTCACTATAAGCTCTTTACAGCCAAATGGAGCTGCAGATTAAGGTAATAATTCTCTATATGAACGACCCCTTTTACCTTGTTTTCACATTGTCATTTGATACATTGTTATTACAAAAATATCGATTAGAGCCGCTGTAATGATGCACTTTGGCTCCGAGCAGCGAGCTTCAAATTCCAGCTCTCAGTGAAGTCATCCATGAGACGTTAATACTGATCAATAACCCCAATAACTCTAACAGACTATAATGCGGGTTTTTTTGCACCTAAAATCTGCTTTAAATTGCTCTAACTCCTTTTAAACACAGTGAATTCCAGTCATGCAGACAATGAGCCATTTGCAAGGGAAATGATAGATGATGAACTCCATTAACGTGGACTTGTTTTATGCGTAACATCAGGTACCCATTGCCAAAAGATTGCGGGGATTAATGGGTGCTGGAGAGGTACGCCATCAATCACCTGGTGTGATTTGTAAGGAGCTGATAAACTATAAACACCGGCGTTTCTACGTGTCGTCTGCAGCTCTGCATTCGTGTGTGTGACCTTGAGCGAAAAGTGTGTGCGAGCGTGAGCGTGTGTGTCAGGAGAGTCTGTGTGACTTGAAGTTCAATATTGCGCCCAGATCATCACTGATTATTCCCATGTGTGTGTCCCAGCTGGGACTTTGTTTGAATTAATACGAGCCAGAAAGCTGAAACCTCCTGAGCTGAAATAATCAAGCAGATCGGTCTAAGATGGATATGAAAATCAGGGTGACTTGACTTCAGTGGAAAGATGGCGGGTTTAAAACTCCAACTTTTCTTCTTTATCTGTGTCTGCTTTCTGTCAGAGACAAAAAAAAATTATTCGACTGCCCCATCTCTCCTACAACTGACAGGGATATTTAGCATTTTATTCATACCTCAGTGAGTATCACACACCATGTCTAATCTTTTGTGTTCTTTGGGTCTGCATATGATATTCTCTTTCACAGTGTCTGCTTCATCCATTATGCATTAAACTCATACATAGTGTGTTAAAATACCGAGTGGTGGAGCCATTAAATCTTTCTTGACAGATAATGAAAATGGAGGATTACATCACAGGCAGGATATCAGAAAAATGCAGCATTCAAAAAAAAAAAAAAGAAAAGAAAAGAAATCCCAGACATCTTTCTTTGTGTTTTGAAATTTAAACAGCAAGAAGAAAACCTAAAAAGATGTTTCCCATTCCTTGAATTTCTGTCATCCCCCAGCAGCAACAAACCACAGCTGTAATCAATGTGACACATTATGTAAAAACTGTAATGACATTTAAATAACTGATATGAAAAACAGATTTAAACACTTCAAATAACACTCACCCAAAGCCTGGGCTTCCACGTGTAAGCACAGTTTTAATAGCAGCTGCGAGGCCAGAATGAGGGCTGTCCAAACACCCATTTTGTCCTTCCAACTGGTCCCAGATCTGCAGTTCCTCTGTAGTGACTTATCAATATGTGACACAGTGGCGGTTTCCCGTATGTCTGTTGTGAGTGGTGCGTCCTTGCCTCCTTTTTAAATCAAAAGTGAGGCAAGACTGACATGTTAAGCCTTAACAGAAGCTGCTGAGTGTTTTTGTGTGTGTGTGTGTCTGAATTGGTGTGTGAAGAAGGGGATCGTAGGAGTCGTATTGAGGGAGGAGCGTCGGGGCCAGAACCTACTTTTAAAACCTTCCTCAGACGGCCCCATGCAGAGAAGGAGTGACCTGGGGAAACTCTTTGCATTGGCTCCCACTGGCTGCTACTTAATTCCCACAGGCTCTTTCACAAATCTACTGTACACGAGCAGCTCCTGATTGACTCCCGTGTTTGGCCACTGACATCATGTTTTGAACCAAACTGAGTCCAGAATATTTTTAGACTTGTGAGTTCATGCTTGGGGGGCAATTTCTGAAAATGGGTTTCCTACCTCCAGCAATCAGACTTGTAGTACTTTTTTTTTTCTTTTTTTTCTTTTCGCACTCTGAGATTCTTTCACTTTCCTTCCAGCGATCAAATGTAACACCTTTCCCATGTGCCCTTGCTTTCCCCTTCCATCCCTGGGCGACGTCAGGAAATGAGCGCTCCGGAGCCTGCGCCTTAACAAGCCGTGTTACGCGGCCGCCAGAGCTTCAGACAAGCTGCCGGCTCATGCGGCCTCCAGGTCGTCAGCATGTCTGGCACCACGCGACCTGCCACATTTGGCAGGGATGGAAAAGCTCACGTCTTAATGATGTTTGTTTTTCTCCTCTTTTCCTTGCCGGTTGTATTTTATTTTGCAAGCCTAATTCCATGGATGGGTAGCTGCCACTGAGCAGAAAAAAAACAGAATCTGTATTAATGATGTTTGAAGCCTTCACTCTTTCAAGTCTCAGTCGCTTTAAGACGATGTTCCTACTTAAAAGGATAAACAGAAGTATCTATAGCAACAAGCAGCAGCAAATGAGTCATAGTTTCCATACATGTGCCACAGTACCACAGGTGTTCCTTGTGGTTTGTCTGCACACAGGCGCTCCGGCTTGCTGTTGTACACTGATATGGACTCCATCCAGTTAGCAACGGGATGCAGAGTTTTATCTGCCCTCTGGTTGGTTTTCAGACTGATCCTTTACAGACGTCGGGGTTCTGGATCGCAGAAAGCCCCACAGACCTCCATGAATGGTCGGCAGCTGCAGCCAGGAGCTCAACAGACCACATCAGTTCGCTGGAGTACCCGGCCTGACTCACATCACGATGCGGTCGATGAGGTCAGACAGTGAACGCTGCAGCTGGCTAGGAGATAAACCCCAAATGTGTCTGACACCATCTCCGGACTATTTTTATTCGTGATATCGATACAGTCAAGTCCTGCGACTCTCACACTCGTAACTCAGCTTAACGTTGTAACAGACACTAAAGATTATAGCGTGGCTGTAACCGCAGTGACAACAAAACGAGCATGACATAGCCAAGCTGAAATTGAGGTTTCATGCAGCATAAAAAGACAGTAAGAGCTGTTTCTGTGCTCAGGGGAGGCCTGACAATTAGCATTTTCCAAAAGCTTTGGACCGTAAAAGAAAACAAGACAAACTGGTCAGAAACTAGAATGATTAAAGGTGCATAATAGGAAGCATGTGGTGCATTAATAGCAAAGCAAAAGAAGATGTTGAATTGTAACCCAAGTAAGAAAAAAAAGAGAAACTTGTACAGCCTAGAAATACTTTAAAAACACTGTTGACGCTTATCGAATCCAGCCAATAAGGAAATTAATCCTCCTGTGCTGTGTCTGTTTCTTATAGATTTTCACCTCAGCATTTCCCTTCATTCATGAACTGATTTATTTTGCACACAAGTCATGTGATTTCTGTTATTCTTCCCCTGGTTTGGTATTGTAGGATCATATATCAAGCTCATTTAAATGAAACTGTCAGTAGTGTGCTGCACAGAAGTGCTTGTATGATTAATTTGTGGACTTTTTATAGTAGTATCACTCACTGTCCCTACAAGTGACTTATAATTTAACATTTTATTCTCTTGGCACACATAAATACACCGAATGTTCCACAGAAGGTACATATAAATATCTATTTTTTTCTCATTAATGTGACATTTTCAGGCGTAATTGAAATTGATTTACTGGTCTAGACTGTGTGGGCAAAGTGTTTTTATGTCACAGAAATTATAGTATTAAAGAAAATAATAATTACATTCACCACATAAAGGTCCCTTCCCACAAGACGTTCTTTCATAAAACGACTTACATCAGTCCTCTTACGTTTGAGGAATGGACACGACTTTTACAGCCACAGCTGGAGGTGACCATAAGTCTTGCTGCTCCTGTGCTGAGTGCTTAAGTGCTCATTACACTGTGGGATGCAGAACCTTACAAGCTCTGCACTGTCTTACCTGATGAAGTTACGTAACAGCCGCCAGTCAGCAAGTCAGAGGGGTCTCTGATCCAACACCTCATTAAATGTGCAGCATCTATCAAAACCTCACCCCGGTCCGGTAGCGGGAACTCGCTCCAAACCCGAAATTACAGCATTAAATTGCCTGAATTTTTGGTATTAGACAGACTGTAACTCTGAACCCAAGGCAGAGGCTTAATAAATGGACCCACATCCTGCAGCATATTTAGTCTGCAAACTCTTGAGCCAAATTGGTATGTCATGGTGGATAAAGCTTCCTGGAATCGTCTAACACGGCGTAGAGGGCCATGAATACAAATTATACATCAAATGTTATAGATTCTAAATTAATCAGAAAATTTATTCGGAGTTAATACGGAACAGAAAATGTTTAGAAATGAGACACAGTTTATTACATTTGTAGCTTTATTTAGTTTCCGGCCTTGAGGTGTTTAAACTGAAGTCGCTGCATTTTGTTTGAGCTGGGTTGCTCAACAGGATTTGTCTAAAACTCAGAAACCATCTATGGAAAATAACAGGAAACAGATGAAACCGTTGCTATATTTTTTCAATTCCATTTACCTGACCGAATCTCTACACATCGCTCTGCGAAATCGCTCAAAACGGCCTCAGTTGTGGACACTGTAACATAAACCTGCCCTTCTTGGGAAAGCACAGCTAGTATTCGAGAAGATTGATGATAGGTGCACAAAGGTATTCTCAGAATAACCTCAGCACAAAGGGGGAACATATCGTCTCTAAAACAACAATGCGGTTTCACCAAATTGCACAGGATTATGCAAGGACACTTAATGAAAGCCCCCGCAAAGCCGCTGGTAAAAGTTGCGGTTGATGATTTTGCCATGTGTAAACTGTGAGTTCATTCTCGGAGCATCTCGGACCATACAGCTGCTCTTTCAGTCACTCACACCAGCTGGATGCATTCATTCCATCTCAGTGAATGTCTCACCTACACCTACACACCTCATACAGATAGAGACGGCCGTAAATCACCACTGGAGATACTTGACACCCAGTCGGCTACGCAGCTCTGAAAACTTCTCTCACTTTTTCACACGAACACCCCCAATGCGACCTTTTTTTCAGTTTTTATGACATTTCTACTTTTTTTTTTTCATTTTGCTTTTTTAGTCTCCCTACTGGCATGGCTGCAGGAAGGAGCGCCGCCACTTTGGTTCAGACTGAAACATCTCAACGAGTACTGGATGGATCGCCCTGAAAATTAGTGCAGATATTTATGTTCCCCAGTGGATGAATCCTATTGACTTTGGTAATCGTCTGACTTCTTGCATTAGGTTTTGCGTGAAGGTTTTTGACATTTTTTGAATGGATTGCCTCTAAATTTTATACAAGTGGCACATTCTTTCCCTGACACATTATTTTACAACTTTCATGACCCCTTGAACTTTTCATCTGCTACTATTACCAGCTCAAAATAGAAACACCTCTTTGGTTCATAAAATACCTTCATCTCCACTTCTGTCTCCTCAGAAATACATTCCTGTAAATCTACTGCATGCTTACATTTTGACATATATTCTGCAATCAACATATCTTTATTTAATTGACTCTTTTTTTTTCTAAACCTGATGAAATACTTTTGGTACCTAAACTTAAACCAACTTCTAACAAGTAGTCACTGTTGTAAATGTGTCAACCAAAGTGGGATATTTTCACAAAACTATTCACATACTTTTGGTGTCCAAACCTAACCAAACAGTGAATGAGACCAAAAATACACAACACTGTAAAGTTAAATATTATGTAATGTCCCCACACTGTGCCTGAACCCGAATACTCGTGCCTGCGTCCTCCCTGTGCAGACTTTGTGGCTCTTCAAGGCTGGAATCCCTTCTTAGTACGTACTTAGTACACAGTTTCACCCTTCAGAAAAATACATTTCTTTCTAAACGTAAATGAGAATGCAGTTTGGTTGCAAAGGAAAGACATTTTCCAGAGACGGGGTTGTCACCTGTCGACTAATGGCATTGCCATCTTTAGCAGCACATTTGCTTAGTGCTCTCTTGGCATTGCCTGACTCCTCCTAACTCAAAAAAATGAGCAAAGATGTGAAGCACAAATGGAGCTGAGCCATGGACTGTGCTACAATTTAACCCACCTGTTATTCAAAGTGGTCACACCATAAGTTTAAGCCGTAATACAAATTAAACAGGAGATCTTTATAAAAATTCATCCCCTGTACACTTGTCAAAAATGAGGAAATAATCTGTAGAGACCAAACTGGTTTTTTGCACCAAGCTGTAAATATTTTTATTTGTGTTGTGAAGTTGAACATCTTCACACGAGACTCTGTGAGGACTGACTCGCTATTGGGGATAACATCTAGTGGCCATTCTATGAACTGCAGCTTTTGGCATTTTGGTGTCGGTTTCACATTTTCAATCCCGGAAATTGCCAATTGGAACATCCTTAAAGAACTGTAGAGTCTTAGGCTTAGTTTATTCTGGAGAACAGCAAGTTTGTAACATTCTTTGTAGCTGTTATGAAGAGCCAAACTCAAAGACGGAGTGAAAAGTCATACAGCGATCACAGAGCAGGGAGATGCGGTGTTATTTAAATAAGCAGATAAGGACACACATTTTCAGGCAGTTTGTCCTGGAAGGAATTCATAGAGGGCTGCTCACGGGGACTGTGACATAGATGTGTAATGAAGCAAAAAGGGAGCTGAG